ACCGAAGACCTATCAGGGCAGGTGGAGGCGTGACTACGACTTGAACATCAGGCGATTGCTGGAGCGGTCCCCAGTCGTCTCTGATCAGGCTGAAACTCGTAGTAATTTCCGATGACAGCTTTAGCAGGAAGCATCCAGGCTTCATCTTCTTCCCCTTTCTTGATAAGCAGGAAACAGGAACCATTATCATCCAAGGCGTAGTTCAGGTAGGTCAGCTTCAAGGGTACAGTTCCTTGAGGGCCCAATCCTAGAGACAGGGGTGGCAAGGCGTTCATATAAACACATGAGAATCTCCACAGATTAGCTCCTGCGTCGTATTCTAAATCCACTGGCCTCCCAGCAATCTTGTCAGCTTGTTCCTTGACATCCTCAGTGATATCATCGTAGTAATCTGGTGAGACGTGGAAGAAATTGGTTCCACTGTCCAAGAGAATGTCGTCGCCGGGAGTGGTAATTTGCGGAGCATCATTCACTTTCACAGACCCGAGTTCAACGGAATAGTCGCCCTCGACGGTGGTAGAGAATGGGATTAATTGCAGCGGTGGTACGTACTTCGAAGCATCACCTCCTCCCACCAGCAACTCACCATTGAAGGGGGCCTTCCCGCCAGCTGAGGATAGGTAGAAAGCGAAGGTGTTGCTTGGTATTTTCCCAGTCGAGCGAAGCTGCCCAATGAATGAGGGAATTGTTCTACCGCTGCTTTGCAGACTAAGACCAAGTGAACTTATCGGTTCGCTCTCTGTGGGTGGAGGATCTTGCTTGAACATGAGGCCGAAAGTGAGATCCACTGGCGGAGCCGAACCGAGTGAAAGTTGAGCTTTATGCTCAAATGATGTGACTTCGACGCCATCATCATACTTGGTCACTTGATAGGGCGGCGCGGGTGAACAAGGCTGTTGACATTGGTAACACCCAGTGGCCGGACAAGGTTGCTTGGTTGCCGCCTCGTACCAGTCCTTCCAGATGAAATGGAAGTCGGCAGCTCCAGTATCCAGAAGAGCGTGGACAACATTTTGATGCT